ACGTATTTAATTAATGAACATTATCTTGTTATTAAACGAATATATATATATATATACAAATATATATATCTATATAATATATATATAATATATAATATATATATATATATATGAATTTTAACCACGATCATCCATCAATTTTTGTCCTCGGAGCTAGACCAATTTTGGACCTAAGACTTGGGCTATCCCCCACATTGCCACCGAATCATGACATTTTCGGCGCCCAAGATGAACTTTCCTTATCCACTGCAATGGGGGGGGATAGCACAACATACTGAGACTTGGGGAGCACTCCCTTAGATTTATATTATACATATAAATATTATACATATATATATATATATATACGGTAACTACATTTAAATATACGGATTTTAAAATATACAAACAGGCATTTTAGACTACCTCCGGGAAGTTTTTCCTTGGCCGGCCTGGCCATTTAAACATACGGAATCCAATTCATTTAAACATACGGTATCTACATTTAAATATACGAACTGGTATTTTATACTAGCTCCTGGGCCTCGCGGTCTGGCCCGCCCTTTACATATTTAAATGTCGTTACCGTAATATAATATACAAATATATATTTATACATATAATTACATGCAGGGACATCATTGACTGATACAATCCAAGGAGTGAGAAGCAAAGTGGTCCAAAGTGAACAAATCCAATACATCAGGGCCTACACTTAAAGCTAGGCATCAAACTGGTGGTGAACATCAATTGATTCAATTAATGATGCTTCAACTTAACATGTTAATCACTGTGCCCCAAGCATTGGTCATTTAGATAGGCATCGATTTTATCGGATCTATTTCAGCCACAAATTGCCTCGTAGATAGGGATATCCGCAACAATTTTAATGGATTGTTCTTTCAGTCCCAAGAATTTCATTTCCTGGTTATCTGGTTTCCCATTACCCTCTGGGTATGTTAAAATAGCTATTGAAAATTGCCATTTAGTCCGTTGATTTACCTATTAAACGTGGTGATTTTCCATAGCTATGTTAGTTTACCAGAGGGTAAACCATGAGTTTTCCCATGATTCACCATATTTCACCATGACTTTCGGGCCGCTCAAATCGGCTGGCGCCGCTCCGCCTCGACGTAGATGACGGGTTGGAACTTGCGGATGGTGTGCTCGGCGCCCAGCAGCATCTCCTCAGAGGAGCGGTAGGATTATTGTATATTCAACGTAACATTAAAGATATTTGAATATACAATAATCTATCCATCCATCCATCCATCCGTCCGTCCGTCCGTCCGTCCATATAATATTATGTGATATTTGATTCTGTTGGTAAAACAATGCCATGAAAACCATCCCCAAAATTACTATAAATAGGTGGTAAAAAAATAATCCCCCTTGAAATTCGCCCCGAGACGATGAGAGCTCCATTCTGTAGGGTGCCCAGCCTATCCCCCTACAAAATGGTATGGGGACACCTACAAAATGGTAGCGCCCATGGGGGTTGCTGCCTACAAAATGGTGGCACCAGGGTACCCCACCTGCCCACCAACATCAAGTATTTTGGGTTAACATAGTGTCCAAAAAACTGTGAAAAATGGGAGAACCATTTTTTAAGACACAAAGCAACCCTGTGGTCGCACCCTAGTCTTTTTTGGGCGACCAATTTGTAGACAGTTTACCTTGAATGAAATTTCTTCTTAAAATCTCTCAAGCAATCCTTGCATATCTCACATTTTTGCATTTTGTGCATCTGGCAATCGGGTTTCATAAAGTATCGTCCAACAGAAGTAGTCAGATAGACTGGACCGAAGTAGTGGTCATCGCGTTTTTTTTCTGGACCGGGGCTGGTTTCAAAATTTTGGAGGCTTTGAAAACTTTGCGATCATCTCCACCACAAAATCCACATGGTCGGCAGACACACTTTCTAAGTAGGATCCCCATCGCCAAGCCTATTGCAAAGGCAGCCACCACAATCCCCTCCAACAAACCCATGTAGCTTGGCACTCGAGATTCTTACAAAATATGTCTTGAACCAGCATGAACCAGCTACAAAATGGTAGTGCCAGAGTATCATGAACATGCTTGTGGATGTGATGGCGCCCTTCCATTTTGTAGACAGGTTGTTTGTTCTGGATGGTTCTGGATGGTTCTGGAGGGCCATTGAAAGTCATAAAAAAAACATCTAGCTTTCCCATTTTTCACATTTTTTGGACATTATGTTAACCCAAAATACTTGAAGTTGATGGGCAGGTGGGAGACATACTTAGGCTTCCATAGGTTTCCTGCTTCATTCAGCACTGGTTCTCTGTTAACCAAAAGCGGTTGATATTTTTTTGTGTTCAAATATATTTACATTTGTGGATGTATTTATCAACTCCCCTTGCCCATCTACAAAATGGTATTCCAAATCTTCTACAAAATGGAGGTGCCTGACACTGGCATATGATCTTGTTCTCATATAAAGTGATGTTGGGTGTGTATAAGCAGGTCTCTTTCTACAAAATGGAGTGCCCCGACGGCACAAAAAAAAACATAAAATCTGATTTGTAGGGGGCCCAAGGCCTACCATTCTAAATGGGAAATGTCAACGGGGATCATGCTTGTGGATGTGATGGCGCCCTTCCATTTTGTAGACAGATTGTTTGTTCTGGATGGTTCTGGAGGGCCCTTGAAAGTCATTTAAAAAAAACATCTAGCTTTCATCCCCCTTGAAATTCGCCCCGAGAGGTTGGGCCTACCAAAGTGTAGGGTGCCCAGCCTACCTCCCTACAAAATGGTATGGGGACACCTACAAAATGGTAGCGCCCATGGGGGTTGCTGCCTACAAAATGGTGGCACCAGGGTACCCCACTTGCCCACCAACATCAAGTATTTTGGGTTAACATAGTGTCCAAAAAACTGTGAAAAATGGGAGAACCATTTTGTAAGACACAAAGCAACCCTGTGGTCGCACCCTGGTCTAACCGCTTTTGGTTGGCTCAGCAGTGCCGGCCGCTGCCCCCAAGCCCTCGAACTAGCTGATTGTCAGTGGCCATGCTGCGCTTTCACATGGCGTTCCTGCTGATCGTGGGATTGGTTGGGGAAGGCGTCAAGGTGGCTGACGACACAGCCACACAGACGCCAGAGGAATGGCATCTTGTCTTCGAACGTGACTGATTGGGACAGTTGCCAGGAATAGGACAACTCCAAGAAAGACACTTCAAGAATTGGGCGCAGTTTAAAAAAAACAAGGAAACTTTTTTGTTTTTACCAATTCCATTTGGAGCTACAAAATGGTAGGCCATTTCCATTGGCAGCTACAAAATGGTGGGATACAGAAATAGTTAAGGTCTAGCACGTGGTACCGCTTCTGCACCCGGCAAGACAACCAGGACATCCAATCCAGAAGCGTCTCTTTGGGTTGTTCTGGTTTGAACCACCTTAGTAAAAGAACATTGGGTAACCCATTGCAAAGTCTGGCCAGCTAGCCCATACCAGTCTACAAAATGGATGGTCCCCATTCATAGACTACATGGTCTAACTATTTCTGTATCCCACCATTTTGTAGCTGCCAATGGAAATGGCCTACCATTTTGTAGCTCCAAATGGAATTGGTAAAAACAAAAAAAGTTTCCTTGTTTTTTTGAAAACTGCGCCCAATTCTTGAAGTGTCTTTCTTGGAGTTGTCCTATTCCTGGCAACTGTCCCAATCAGTCACGTTCGAAGACAAGATGCCATTCCTCTGGCGTCTGTGTGGCTGTGTCGTCAGCCACCTTGACGCCTTCCCCAACCAATCCCACGATCAGCAGGAACGCCATGTGAAAGCGCAGCATGGCCACTGACAATCAGCTAGTTCGAGGGCTTGGGGGCAGCGGCCGGCACTGCTGAGCCAACCAAAAGCGGTTGATATTTTTTTGTGTTCAAATATATTTACATTTGTGGATGTATTTATCAACTCCCCGTACCCATCTACAAAATGGTATTCCAAATCTTCTACAAAATGGAGGTGCCTGACACTGGCATATGATCTTGTTCTCATATAAAGTGATGTTGGGTGTGTACAAAAAGGTCTCTTTCTACAAAATGGAGTGCCCCGACGGCACAAAAAAAACATAAAATCTGATTTGTAGGGGGCCCAAGGCCTACCATTCTAAATGGGAAATGTCAACGGGGATAAAAAATAGAATTAACATTTTCAAAATCAAATGATTTTTAAATATTTGAATATATGTTAATAATATTGTCTATGGTTGCATATTTAACACATGAACAAAAGTAAACATCTATGTTATCTATCTATCCGCCCATGCATCCATTCATCTATATACAGTAACACTATGTAACATTATGTCAGTTTGCATGTGTACGTGTTAGTTATACATGTAGATACATACATGTTAAAAAAGGGATGCTCATCCAAGTAGCTCAAAGCGTTATTGGGACGAAGCGCACGGTGTCAGATTGAGCATGGCTTCAGCGATCCCATCATATATCAAATTGGGGGTATTATCAGCAAATAGCTCAATTCCTAATCCAGTTGATTTCCAGATGCCTCCCGAAGTTCGGTCTTGTTTCACATCTTTCACCCCCAAAAAGAACACCAGAAAACTCCACCATACCTCAGGAAGCGTGTGGAAGTCAACGCTGTCTGACCCAAGGTCTCTGCAAACAGATGGGTTGTCTGACAAATTGGTGCCCAACAAATCCAATAGGTTTTTCATCATGCCCCTTTCGAAAACTGCATATGGCCAAGGAACGTATTCTCCACTCTCCACATCGATCTTGATGACCTGTCTGGGGAGGGATGTGCCATCTCTGGGGTTGTCTGAAAATATGGCACCCCGAAATCCACAGGTCAATCATCACTGGTTGGTGGTTTCAACCCCTCTGAAAAATATTAGTCAATGGGAAGGATTATCCCATATATTATGGAAAATAAAAATGTTTGAAACCACCAACCAGATCAATTTGTCCCTTGTAAAGCTGGATATAAATTGGATGCCGCACCCGTGGGGGATTCCTACCTCTGGTGATGCCGCTCAGCCATTTTGTCCCGGCAGCGTGAGATCCATCAGTTTTTTGTGGTCACTTCAGGAGCTTCGGCTGCAGCTGTTCGTACTTCTTGTACTTCAACATCACCTGGGTTGAGTTGTTTGAGTTATTAGGGCACTCTGACCCAGCTATCAATGGGATATGGTGAAGGACTTACGAGACAGGGCTATCCAGATGTATCGAGTTACTCAAGTGGTATGATCCTCCACCTGGATCCAAACGGTTGTATCATGTTGTATACCAGTAGTACCGCACAAGGCGGTGGCGGAAGTTTCAAAAATAGGAAACCTATAGGAGAGGTTGGTTGTTGTGAATCAGGGATGGCAGAGCGAAGCCACTGATGGATCGAAAGGTGCTTGATCTCTCTCACTCTTTCTCTCTCTCTCTCTCTTTTGTGCTCTCTTTCTCTGACTATCAACCTACCTAGCCACCGATCTATATATGTATCTATCTATCGATCGATCTGTCCATATCTATTTTTCTATCTATCTATCTATCTATCCATCCATCTATCTATCTTTCTAGCTATCTATCTTTCTATCTATCTATTTATCTATCTATCTATCCATCTATCCATCTATCTATCTATCTATCTATATTTTTATTTAGCTGTCTCTCTATCTATTTCTCTGTGTGTCTATCTGTACATCTATCTATCTATCTATCTATCTATCTTTATGAATTGCCAAAGTAGGTGTAAACGACTTTCAGGCTGTCTAGGCAATGTTAGGTACGTACGGTGTGTTGGTACGATGATATATGGTACGGTACGGTGGTACGGTACGGTGGTGAGGTGGTACGGTACGGTGGTGCAGTGTGTTGGTACGATGATATGATGGTACGGTACGGTGGTACGGTACGGTGGTGCGGTGTGTTGGTACGATGATATGTGGTACGGTACGATGGTACGGTACGGTGGTGCGGTGGTACGGTACGGTGGTGCAGTGTGTTGGTGCCATGGTATGTTGGTGCGGTACGGTGGTACGATGGAAGTGGTACGGTTAAATGATGGTAAGGTGGTACTCATTGAGATGTAAAAGGTGGTGTATACCACGGCAGAACTTGATGATTGTAGATTTTTAACTGAACATGATCATCAACCATAGACACCTTATTGTCATTGCTGAAATAGCAGTTCTTGCTCTAAACCCTAAACACCGAATCTGTGTCCGGCGGAGAAAACTACTAGACTCACAAAATAAGCGCTGTAAATCATTTTTATGTTGTGAAGATTTCAGGATACGACAGCACATCTTGCCAGAATATCATGTATCTTATCTTATTTAGATTCACTGGTTTTGCTCAATAGGCTACCCTGATGGCCTTTGAGGCCTGTGTAGAAACTCACACAAACAATGGCAAGAAAACCGCATGCTTTAGTGACTTTAGTGCAAATCAACATCAACAAACAACAAACCCAAAAAGCAAACCCAACACCAACGTACACAAACAAAAAACTAACCCAATAAAAACTAACCCAATAAAAACTAACCCCAAGCACCAATCGCACATAAAACTACCAAGGCAACAACAAAACACCAGAACAACAACAGGAAAATGGAGAACATGGATGACACTGAAAACCAAATATAATACTCTACAAATTTGATCAAGTTGATTGCAGTGGATGGAAAAAACATCCGGCACCAGTTGATAGCTGTTTTATCCCATTATTTACAGGGTTTCCACCATCCAAGCTGGTGCAGGATTTCTTCCATTCATTGTTGGGAAGCATGCGAAACAAATAAATGACATGAAAGGAAATAAAAGAACACTAAACGAAATCAAATGAAATGAAACGAATTGAACATGACAAAAACGGACGCACGCCATCAAAAGCACAGCGAGTGGCATGCATGGGACGGCATGCATGGCACCAGGATTCTAAACAGTAGTTGTGCGATTAGCAATTTGTTGTGTAGCTCTTGCATATTGGAAATTCTCGAGTATTTAGTTTCACATATTATATTCGGAGTTTGGAATTGCAATTTCTGGTTAAATGACACACAAGTGACCACATCAATGAACTCACAAGCAGACCCACGATTCGACAAGAAAAATGCAGCAAATGCACTCACACGCAAGCAAGGACCATAGAGGGGGCCATAGAGGACATGAATTTGTTACTGTAGCCAGACGTACATGGACGCAGCTCACCCGTGGGCCATACAAACCAGGTCGTGGTTTGTGACAAGTTTTGTATCTTGTATGTCAGTAATATTCACAACTACACAAAAGTAGAAAAAGCAAACAAACGCGCAAGCAAACTCAAGTAGAAATGCAAAACAAATGACAAACAAACACCAACAAAAAAAAACAACTGATGTGGCCCCTTTGCGTTTGTGGTCGCGGATCCAATCTGCTTTAGCTCTGAAAACCAAAAGAAAACACAAAGATAAACATGATAAACTCATTTTGTTTGAGGGATCAGAGGCATTTGTTTAGGGCTACTGATTTCCACCTTGGGCATACTGTATACTAGAAAAAGTAGTAGTGTGCGCATCCGCATAAGTTACACGAAACGGCATGGGGCCCAACATTTACCAATCCAGAAGTCATTTTTGATCATGACCCCGTGACCGATCGAAAATATTTTATTTCAAGTGGTGAACCACCAGGGCCACTACCACTACCATCACATACTACAGTGTCAAAACCCCGCACACACACAGCCTTAGACGATTCAGTCCGCTTGTCGACGCAATCTCCCCTCATGAACTTGAAGTCTGAATGCTTTTTGTGTACAGTCTAGATGCCTACATAGCACCAGTATCACATACATGCGTCCCTGCATGAAGAAATGCGCTAATATATACTAATATCATGTATTTAATATACGTGTCCAACAAAAAATAACATACAGTGCCTTGCATCTAGAGTGTGCCTCGATATTAGCAGTCTACCCTTTTGTGCTGCACACATCTGCACACTTCATTTGGCTGAGCTGTTATCCATGTGTGTTCTCACACAATCCCTAGATTGCTCAATTTGCCACCCGCTTTGCATTTGATGTGCTTCACTTGCGTTTCATGTGTTGCTATTCCATATATTGATATATATTGATATATATATATATATGTGTGTGTAGTTGTGTGTGTGTTCGTGGCCTTATTGCTTTATTGGGTGAATTTCTGCGCCAGGCATTTGCCTTGCGTCTGAAACATGTTAATACATACGAGGCTTTGTGTTATTTTGCGTTTGGGTACCTGATGGTACCTGCATATTCCCAGTCTTGTGAACTACACCATAGCAAAGGTGTTGAATGCTCAAAAAACATCCTAAGAATCAATGCCGCTCCATGCTAACTGCGCTATATCTGTCCCCAACAATTCGACCCGACTATACCCCAAAACCGTACCACCGCACCCTACCATTGTACCAAACCGCACCCCAAAACCATACAACCGTACCACACCATACCACAAAACCTTACCACTGTACCACACCGTATCCCAAAGCCGTACCTCAAAACTTTATAAGTTGGTATCTTTTCGTAGGGTCGGGACTGTGCGAGTGTACCCCGAAAACCGTACCCCGAAAACCGTACCCCAAAACCGTACCCCAGAACCGTACCCCGAAAACCGTACCCAAATAAGGACGCATATCGATGTATCTTTTTGAGTGTACCAATACTACTTTAGTATTGGTACACTCAAAAAGATACATCGATATACGTCCTTATTTGGGTACGGGTACGGGGTACGGTTCTGGGGTACGGTTTTGGGGTACGGTTTTCAGGGTACGGTTTTCGGGGTACAGTTCTGGGGTACGGTTTTGGGGTACGGTTTTCGGGGTACGGTTTTGGAGTACGGTTTTAGGGTACGGTACGGTGCAGTGGTACGGTAGGGTGCTTAGTATTGGTACACTCCCGACCCTACGAAAAAATACCTCCTTTTTCTGGTATATACAGTAAGTGAGACTGTTTTGGGGTATGGTTTTGGGGCGCGGTACGGTAGAGTGGTAAGGTACGTTGGTACGGTTTTGGGGTACTGTACAGTACAGGCGTACAGTGGTATAGTTTGGAGTTGTTCAACTCCGATCCAAACTTTGCGAATATCGTGCTGAGATGGATTGAAAATATTGAAACTACACATCACGTGAATTTGTCTGATGCACTCAAGTGACTTGTGTCCGACCTAGCGCAGTTTCGGTGGTACAATTTTTGGGTACAGATCCAGGTCAGTTATAGAGCGAATATATGCAATTATGATTTATGGAATTGCGGTTGCAAATCTCTAGAAAGGCCACACATCGGAATTTGAATTTTCACGTGCAACATGCGTAAAAAAACATCAAAAGGCTGTATTTATGAATCACATTAAATCACAGCTTAAAACCCATTCAAACTACATTTGTTCATGAATGTGTGCTTCCAAAACCACATTGAAGAAAAGCAATATTCTGAGACAACTCTTCTGGCCACCCACAACGATCGAAATAGGAGAAACACTTTGAAACAAACAAACAATATTCTGAGACTCTCTGCTGGCCACCCCCTACCCCTCCCAATAGCAAGACTTCTTGGAACGCGCTTTCGTTTTGACTTTTTTCAGCAAACCTCGAGACTTTTGGGAATGTCGTTTTTTGTCTTGATCTCCTAGAACCCCAATCTCAGGATTTCTGGAACAGCGTGTTTCTGGATGTTTCTGGTATATTTATATAATGTCTTGTTGAAACCAAGACTCAATCAAGACTCCTGCAAAACCTTTCGTATTATTTGTTTGCTTTGTCTTCTGCAGGGGAGCCAAGACATCCGGAAAACTAGTCTTAAAAGCAAAAAACACTTTTCAGCTGCAATAACTATTTGTACTTTTTTGAAAGGAATGCTGGTTGTTTACGAGTTTGCATTGTCAGAAACACACCACTTTCTGACAGGAATACTGTAATGGTTTGTAGCGCAATTTCACTGCTTGAAAAGAACACCGAACTTGAAGAGCGCTACCCTTTCAAAAGGATTTGTCAAAGAAATAGTTTTTTAAGCATTGCAGTTGTCGACAGAATAGCATATTATATGTCAAAAGGAATTCCATGTTTTTGCAGGGAATACTTGAAATTTTGAACCAGTACTATTTCTTTGAAAAACACCGCATCTCTCAAATGAAAACTGTGTGTCTCAGACACTGCACATCTTTAACTGACAGCTGTATCTTTCAAAGGAATACTTCAAATACAAACAGAACATCTGCTGAATGTTGCCTGCATTTTTGAATTTAACATTGCATTGGTTCAATCCATGTTTCATATTTGGCCGATGTGTTTTGTACATAAAGCACTGCCCTGGAGGAATATTGCACCCATTGAAGAAAGATGCATGTTTTGAATGGACATTTTTTATATAAACTTGCATTATCGCACAGAAATCTACATATTTCCTCAGGTATTTACCTTTGAAAAGAACCGGCCTTGTTTATAGACAATTGCATACCCTTTTGGAAGAACATTGCGCATGTGGAAACGGAACAGTTATTTTCTTGAAGGAAGACTTCTTCTTTGAGAGAAATGATCACTGAGCGCTGTTTCTGGAATACTGAGTACTGAGTATGCCTATCTTATTTGGGCAGCGGCATATCTATATAACATGTAAATTTGTATAGTCAAAAAGGAATGATCAATTGAACTCCCTTATCAAAACCAAGAATTATACAATAATCTTACTTCTCTCAAAGGTCAAATACTGCACTTTCTTAAGAGGATACAGGACACTGAACTGTTTGTTGGAGTTGCACACCAATATGCGGGCAAGTGTGACGCCCTCTTATTCTGAGACATGCTCTTTCAAAAAGACTATGCGTTTTACTGTGTGCCCGCAATCCAATGTGCGCAAAACAATTTCCGATCTTTAAAACCTACATTGACATAGACTTAAGGACAAACCATTATATATAAATCTTAAATCCCCCTCAATGGCAACCCTTTATTTAAGACGCCATAAGACATCAATATTACTTTACCCTAACTCACTCTCTCCTTTACATTGTTTTGTGCACCAGTTGTGACCGGTTTTTGCTTTGGGATGTTTATCTTCCACAAGGTATCGTATCAACATCTCACCACGCCATTACAGTGCACTGCAGAATTCCCTACCAACATCTCGTCGCACCAACATGCCACATCATGCTACATCACCATAGCGTACCAGCATCTTATCTCACCCGCGTGCCTTACCAACACATCGCAAAAACACCGTACCGCACCAGCATCTCATCCCGCAACACAAACGACTCACTGCACCACTGTATCGCACCAATTTACCATACCAACATTCAATCGCACCATGCCACCGTACTGTACCAGATAACACTGAACCACCCCAATGCAGTACCATCATATCGCGCTATGTATTAAAAAGCTTATCATAATCATATCTTATCATTATATCGTGCCATGACCCCAAAACCGTACCACTGAACCGTACCACTGCACCGTACCATGACCCCAAAACCGTACCATCGTACCGCACCATGACCTCAAAACCGTACCCTCCAATCGTACCCCGTTCCAAGCATCCAAATTCACACCTACTTTGAAAATTCATAAATCTATCTATCTTTCTATCTTTCTATCTATCTGCAAGACAAAAACGAAGAAAATCTGCGAGACTTCCTTAATGTTTGAATATAACAACGTCCAAAACGAAATAATTCTGCGAGGCGTCTACATTTATTGAACTTGACAACATCCAAAACGAAGCAATTCTGCGAGACTTCGTCAATTTTTGAACTTGACAGCATCAAAAACAAAGCAATTCTGCGAGACTTCCTTCAAAAATGGAAAGTTGAGTGCAGAGCTGACAGCCTCGTACCAATGCGTTTTGCGATTTTTCTAGTCCACCTGTCTAAAGTACTGCGCCTGCCAGGGAAAATTGATGCCAGGTCATACGAAGTGCTGCACCTGTCACGCAAAATCACCTTAGCAAACCTGCACATCTGATACTCCAAAATGCAGCCCCTCTCAAGAAATCAGCGCCCTGACCTCTTAACATCTCTCATGAACATGTCTTTTGTACTGCGCCTGCCACGGAAAATGCATCTTTGCAGATCCTCTTCAAATGTCCCATGCTTGCCATCGTTTTTGGAAATGCCACAAAACCCTCACGTTTTGCTCACTTTTGAAGAGGTGCACAATCCCTTGCGCCTGCCACGCGAAACGACATCTGAACCTCCAAAAGTGGCGCGCACATGTGGTGCTTTGTACATTTTGACTTGGAAATGTGCTTCGCGCCACAACGGCGTGCACTTTTTCAACATCTCAACTGCCAAAAGTGGTCCGGAGCTGGTGTGTTTTGTGCATTTTGACTTGGAAATGTGCTTCGCGCCACAACGGCGCGCACTTTTTCAACATCTCAACTTCCAAAAGTGGTCCGAGAATGGTGTGCTTTGTGCATTTTGACTTCGAAATGTGCTTCGCGCCACAACGGCGTGGACTTTTTCGACATCGCAACTTCCAAAAGTGGTCCGAACCCCTGGTGTTTTTAACATTTTGACTTCCAAATGTGCTTCGCGCCACAACGGCGTGTATGTATTTGTTTATCTCTCATCTGGCCAGCTGGCTCCGCACCCGCCGCTTTAGCGAGCCTACTTTTCGACCCTCCGGAGCCCCAAATCATTGGGAAAACACAGTGTTTCGCGACTTTCCTACCTTTTCGCGCATCGGCATCTGCTTTCTTCTGACTCTTTCTCTTCTACTCTTCTTTCTTCTGATCTTTCTCTTCTCTCTGCCTCTTCCCTGCTCTGCTTTTCATCTGTCCATATTGTCGGAAGTTTAACTTCTAAACTTCCTTCGATAATATTCCATTGTAATCATGATAAACATGATATTGATAGACCAATTTTTTCAAAATTCCTTCCGTTCTACCCCTAAAATATCCCATAGCATCCCCAAACTTCCAGTTCAACCGGGACTGGGTCGACTCCGTTAACTGGGGCCATGGGAAGGGAACTTAGCATGCTTCGACAGACCACCAAAACCCGAACGCAAGAAAATGGTGGTTTTCACATGTTCATATCGTGTTTTTTTCCATGAAACCATCTTTTGATAGTCTTTCGATGCCATTCGCATGTGTGGTTTCCATGTTGGAGTTCGGTGGTGTGAGAAAAATAAAGTGTAGTCAGTGTAGTCACTTCTTTCATGAAGGAAAGCTTGTGGTCATCTTTCTCTGCCATCTTCAAGGCCTGCTGTTGGAATTTCTCTCGCAGGCTGTCTGGGATCATTCCCAGGTCGATGTCCTGAGCGAAGCCCCAGCTGATTCACTTCCCTATTTAGCAGCTTCCGGGAAACATCCAACCAACATCTAAAAAAATGCACTCAGCAATATCCAGGTTTCAGGGCACTTCTTCAAGGACCTCTTCTTGATCCAACAATCCAAAGCATCTGAAGGTTTGATGGCCCAGTAGTGGACTATGGCCACATGATCCTTTCCATCCCAGAACATCCTGAGCCGGTCAGACTTCTGGCCTTGATTTTAAAGAGCTCACCAGCTGAAACAAGTTGCGGGGCGCTTACCAACCAACATTTATACAGTAATCAGGTCGTTTTGACTTTGTGAAAAAAAAACGAACTTATTCAAAGCCATTCTGAAGCCCCTGGCCTATAATTCCACTTCACAGACCACCGCAGCCGCCCCACGTTCTCATCGTAGAACTTGTTGAGAACGCCCTGGTCCCACGCAGTGCTGATCTGAAAATCGCCAAACATAAAATTCAGCAAGGCAGGCAGGTCCTTTTTGTAGATGGGCAAATTCCTGATTGCTCGCGCCAAGCGACGAAAATCATCCCAAGTATAAAATGCGCTTCTAGCTGGACAATTAGTAATCATTAGATATAATTAGGGTGTTTGCCATTTGTGGGCCAAAAAAAACCACGCCAATCACAAACCGTCTAGACAGCAAAAGGTTGGCAAAAACAACGAAATCACCAAACAGCAAATCCCATGTTTCAGTGTCAAAAACCTAGTAGAACATCTCAGCAAAAATGGTTGGTGAATGGGGAGTTCCATACTGGAATATCGCAATCCCAGCAGGTTTTTCAGTACAATCCCAAATCCCTAAACATCATGAACCAACCATCGTTTACCAACTATTATATATATATATATATATAAGTGTGTGTGTGTGTCACAAATGTTGATAGAATCCATGTGAATCATGGTTTAGATCACCACACAATTCACACCAATCAACGTCTTTGAAACTGCTCATGTGAGCCATTAACAATACTCCGATGCCATCTCATTGTACTAGTTCGTTCATCGGTTTCCCTACTTATGGGTTAAGCATAACCCCCAGCAAATTTCAAAGAAACTGGGTAGTATAAGTCCCTATTTCATAATCGGTGAACCGTCATTTATCAGTTACATGATAACATATTCCCTGATTTCTGTTGGTTAAAACCATTTTAAACCCATCATTCATGATGGTATCTGCATTTTCAAGAACCCAGCTTCACCAGGGATTTTTGAAACTCATGTGGACACATCAACCAAGCTTCACCAGGAGCACGCCAGTGTTCAGCGGCCCCTCTTCCCTCCGAACCTGTCCCGTGTAGGCCAAGGAGAACTTCGATGAGGGAATCGAGGACATGAATTCGTTCATGCTCACCTGCAGGGGTGGTGCAACTTAGTTTACGAAGTTTGTTAACGAAGAATCATATATACTGACACAACATAATATACCTATGGTTTATAGATCAAATATAATCACTATGGCTTATGGTTATAAAATTGGTTTAATTACAACTAATATCAATGGCCATTTCAGGTACTGTACGTAAAATAGAGCTACTGTACCATAGAAAGAAATATTTTTTGGGGATGCAGCCCCTTACACAAACCTTATATATGGATATATATGGTAGATACCTCCAACTTAGTGATAGAAAATACCAATATAATAATATATATATAAAATATATTATAATATATATAATATATAAATAATATATATAATATATATATATATACAGTATATATATAATAACTATGGTATCCGCCATAATTATCCATAGCTCATGGGTGCTTATAAGCCAAATAGAGAACACATATCTGGGAGGCACGACATTGTGATTGGATATGTGCCAAATCCCATGCACAGCACTTGAAGGGATATAAAATAAATATCATTCAGATGAAGGAACAACACTGACCATTCCCACATTCCAAATCTTTGGGCTCAGAACTAAACAAAAAATACGCTGGTCAACATCATCCAGGGACCTTGCGCCACCACAAAATATCTTGGTCCGTGTACAAAGCATAGCTTCGATTGTGGCGCTGAAGCGGAAGCCCTGATAAAATGCGAGGAATTTCCAAGCGCAGAAATGTGCCCGCGATGCATTCCGGATCACTATCCTCTTCGGCTTCAGTCTGCAGTTTCCTGGCGATGCCGATGTTGTAAGTGTGAAGTTTATACATCTGTTGGATGGGTGGACATCAATATAATCAATGGGGATTTAAAGAAGACTCAATGAAAATCAATGAGCATCATCTATAAATGGATGGTTTATAGCTGACAAGTCATCTACAAATGGTGGATGTTCAATTGCATTTCACTTGTAGCTGGCACCACAATGCAGGGACTGGTTGGTTGGGGGACGACCAATTGAAATGAAAGGACGACTACTGGGTGCTTTCAACCACTAAAGAAGACTAGGCTTCTAGAAACTTGGAAGATCACCCTAGAGAGGATAGAGAACAAACAATCGCCCCACAAAAAGGAGATATGGTCCCCATTCAACTGAAAAAGGCACATATCGCTTCCGTCGGAATGCGATAGAACAGCAAACAGTGGTATACCAAGGTATCCAATAGGTAGCGTAAGGTATAACGAAACAGTTCAACATATCTCCAGAACGAATTCCCAGCCAAGTGTCTCTGCCAAACGGTCAATAAAACTGAGGCGGTGGAAGATCAACTTGGCCCCCATCCTCTCGAGGTGCTGCAAGCGTTCTTCAATCTGGTCGTCCAAGGCCTCCCTCCCCTCCTCCGGCACATGGCAAATTAGATAGGGATCAAAGGCCTTGTTCTCCGTCTCCTGAGAGAAAAAAACAGCGGATCTCGGGCTCCCCATTTTTTATGAAGAGTGTCTTCCCCGGAACTGGTGGGCCCAAGACAAAAAAACGGAGCTTGTCCCAGACCCCAGGACAACTTTATTGAAGAACAACGCCCATGTCTGTTGAGTCTGTTGCTGACAAGTCCTGATTTGTTCGACTTTGACAGAATAAACAATTGGCCAAGCAGTAACAACACATCATTGTTTTGGCCAATATAAATCCAGGTGGCATGCCAGGAGATCAAGGCAATCTCATACTGATCCAGGTAGTGATCTGTCTTGGAACATCTTGGATGCACTGAGAGGCCGCTGGCCCACACAATCTTCTTCTGGTGATGATGGAGCTCGTGATGGTCATGGAGCTGCCCAGGGTGAAGGGCTGCTTCGGCCAGTACCAGGATGCCGAGCCCTAACAGCTGATGCATTGAAATTGTCCCCGCTGGGGAGCAGTAGGGGATGAGGTAAAGTTACTGCGTAATTTCATCCAACTTGAGCCAAAACGAATACACTTTGCAGCTTGAAGAGCTGCTGTTCATGTGTTTTTTCCACAGCCTTCAACAATTTCGACATCAACTGCAAACATCAACTGTCTGACTTGAGCTCCCCAGCATCTAAGCGTTCGAGGCGCAAGACGTCATCGAGTCGCACCATTGAAACCTGCTGAAAACTGGCAGATGGGACACCGGATGGACTCAGGCTACGCCGTCTAGGAAAGGATGGGCATCAATAATTGCTATTAATTAGTGATACACATTCTGAATATGTCTGAATCAATAAATGCATGGTATTGGATGGTATTGGCAGTATTGCTATTGCTATAGTCATGATAAATCCACTTAGATCTTGGGAGGCACCACTGTGAAGCCTCGCTGTTCCGGGAGATCCTGGGTGCCCAGGCCGTTTCCATGCGCCCCTGGCTATCATGATGGACCAGCAGCTCTGATTTCACCGCATCCACCACGTAACTCTTGGACCTCAATGTTTCTTCCAAGGAGTGACCCAGCCCTGGCTTTTTCTGAGAAACAAAAGGTGTCTCCAATATCAATGGATGTTCGTGATTTTCCCAAGAATGCAGTTTTTTGGGCTATACAAACGGTTTTGGGGCACATCCATTTGGGATCATATTGTGATTGTTTTGTTAAGCCCAAAACATGATGTTTTGGGCTCAACATGGCTCAGGGTTCCAGTAGCCACCATCCTGAAGCATCCTAAAGCAACATGCCACCAGTAGCCACTTAGGTAACCACTAAGTTTGACACTAACCCATGATGTAGCCCATTCCTACTGAATAGGCCGGTACATTACAAACTGTTATAAACTGAAAGACCAGAAATGGAACTTAGTCCATTCTGATCATTCTGGTTTCAAGGCATCCCCTTGTTGCCCCCCTTAGTTCCTCACCAGTCACCAGTGGCACCAGTCACGAATTCACTGCCGAGCTCCCAGGCGGATTTCCAACGGCTGCCAAACCTGGCCTTGGGTCCCAGTGATCGTCCCGTCTGCAGAACCAATCTTTATCAGTCTTTATCTTTCAAAGTAGAACCATATGATCTCTATATATATATACACATTATGTATATGTATACATTATATATATATATACTATACATTACATATATCATTGTTATTGTTATTACTATTATCATTAAGCTTATTATTATTATTTTATATATACACATGATATATATATATATATCATGATATCGGAGAGTATGGTAGAAATATACCTTAGGTAAGGCTTTGGCCGGTTGACCCCCCAGTTTTCCGAAGTAGCAAAGCACAAAACGCGTTTCAATTGAAACTGCTGAACGTTTAACTGACGTGAGTACTGCAATTCATTCAACTGACTTCCAAAACATGTACTGTACAATAAAAGATATAAAAGGAGCTTTCAATCCTAAGCCTGACTCATCAAATCAAGGCGTGATCATCATCGAGGCGCGTGACTCCCTGTTGCTCACTGCACAAAGGTAGGCCCCGGATCCTCGAAGTCCAAGGCACATGCGACGTGAACGCTGCTCAGTTCTATTTCCTGACGGGGCATTGCCAGATTGCGAAACATGCGGTGGAATGGAAAACAAACAACGCACCTGGGGATAGCACCCAACATGCTATGACCAACATGCTATGGCTAGTGGAATCTCATGGAATATCACATTGTTCCTGCCACTTTTCAACCAATACAGTAAATCAACCAAACCGAGGTCGGAAGTGTGTTTACCCAATGCTCGCTATGATTTTGCGAGCTTCAACCTGAAAATTTTCAACAGCACCGGCAACTTGGACCATGTCCCGTTGACAAGTGGGGCCAAAATACACGGCTGCATCCATCTCAGAAAATGCCAATGGGATCCAATCCGGCCACATTCAATCGTGGCTTCCACCTAGCCAGTTCTCTTTTTTTGTGGGTTGAATCCCTAGCGAATCAACCAGGCTAAAGGCCTCCGGGGACACGAAGCTTCAACCTAACGGACCCTGCCAGTCCTAACGCATTGTGATAGGTGAAGCAGCTCAACAAGCCATTGATAGCGCCTGTGCCGTGGGAGTCGGGATGACCTGGAAATTGCAGAGCTGGGTCAAATCAGTTCCCGTGCATCTTTCTTGGAGGGAGCGTCACCAGCGTAACCAGCAGGTGGTGGTAAAAATCAGGGAGATTAGAAGCAGTGTCGTTTTGGAATAGCTGAAATATACACCTCACACATTTCAAATTTTGGGATCAAATGCCTATCAATGTCACCTGGTCCAATTCTTGCTTCTGGCTCCAGGATGGCGGCATAGTTTCCGTAATATCTATAGGTCATGTTACCAACACGTCATGGGAATCTATAGCCTATCATTCAATGCGACCCGAAATCGCTCAGGCTTCTGACCAGTGAGTGCATTGACAGCTCGCGGTAAATTTACTCAGCCACACTGGCTTAAGTTTGAGGCTACTGGTATCACCAACCTATCAGCAGGAAGAATTGGGAACAGTTCCCATGTCGGAAGGTGATTAAAGTCATAGCTGAGAATCTGACAGTGACAATTACCCACCATGCCCGTCGATAAGTTGCGTTTCGAAACCCGATCACCGCCCATCACTCCCATTTTTCGTCATTGGTCTGCCTCTCTTACCTCTTACAGCAGCACTTGCAGCAATGATCTTTTTCAGTCTTGGGAAGAGTGATTGCTACATTCCATGTAATCTATTGTAATCTATCTTACAGCACTATCTTGTGGCAACGTCTATGTTATATGACAGGGATTTGCTGGAACAATTATGTGTGTTTTATGTTGCTTTGATAAATTTAATCTGCAAAAAAGGAAATCATGATATTATAAAATGTTCATAAACCTATATTTATCCCATATTCACAGGTCCGACCTTCCCAACGAAACCTCCACATTTCCCACGTTTTTTTTCCCATTCGGATTTTCCCCGGCGAAAGCTGCCGAGGCGCAGTTCGCCGTCAAGACTTGATGCAGCACCCGAAAGGGCTCGAAGGCATGCACCTGATGGGATACCATCTGGTTATGATTAACATAGCCATGGAAAATCCCAACCAAAAATGGAGGTTTCTAGCTGGGAAAATCATCTATTTCTATGGGCCATGGCTTCCATGGCTATGTTAAATAACCAGAGGGTATCATGGGATATGATGGGAATCTAATGGGAATTCATGGGATATAGTCATTCAATGATATATCATCCCAGGGGTATTAATGGGAGATCATCCCCGGGATATTAATATATAATACTGGTTGGATATACTATGGGCATATGGTATTCTATTAAATATATAAAGGGATAATGATATACTGGTTGGTGGTGCAATAACCATCTTGAAAAATATGAAAGTCAATTGGGAAGGACTATTCCATATATTATGGACAATAAAAAATGTTCCAAACCACCAACCAGATATATGTATGTGATTATATGAGCTGTGCTCAAAAGGTCTTGTTCCTCTGAAGGCGCTAAGGGAATGCTTACGCGGCAGCTTACGCTGATGCTTATGCGGGCTTACGCACACCAGGGTTTTGCTTACGCGAGGTCCTTATTGCCACCCTCTTACGAAACATGAATAAGAAGGTTTTCGACGTGGCTATATGTGTGTTACCAGTAATATAGTTAACGAGGTTTTTAAGATAAGACCGCACTAACTATTATGATCCCATAAGTTTCCATATAGGAATCCATAGTTATAAACCAAGTCAGATCAAGGGAGGGCACCAGATTGTACACAAAAAAGAAGGTCATTGATACCTTCACCAACCGTTCATCAACACCAAGGCGTACGGAGGTCTTCGGAAAAAATACATGCTTGATGTGATTAGTTGTGCCCCCATCTGCGTAATCCCGTCCCTCCGAAATTCACAAACACGTACAAAAAACACAAAAAACGTAATCACTGTCTATAAAATTTGTTTGGAGTCAAAATGGAAGGGACACTGATCTGCCGGGAATTGGGTTGAATCCCCCCTTGGATGTAGATCGTTGCGCCTGACCATCTGGGCCCACGTGGCGCGACAGGGGCAAGGTGACACCACCAATGTTCGCCTTGGGCTCGGACAGAAGGCGTTAAGATGGCTGAGATGGTGGGAAAGCTGGGAGACATCGAGAATTAACAAGTGGTAGAAAATGGTAGGACAGGTTTTATCGTAGATATATGTCATAGCTAAAAGGGATTAAAAGGGGGGTTATGGACCAACTTAGAACTGGGGGGCACCAGCTGGTGTAAAATGTTGATCCATCATATCCTTCCTTCTGTCCCACATCACACTGGGAGTTTGATCAGACTCTCGCAAAGACATGCAACAACCACCCAAATGCCAGTTTGATCTTCAACGGTCCCACCACATCATCTGAAACCACCCTGCATATCACGACCATATGATATGCCACGCGTTTCCCGGTTGGTGGTTTCACCACCAAAAGTACATCAGTCAATCAGGAGAAATTACACATCCAAGTTCATAAGTGAAACACGCATCATTGGCAACCATATGTAGAGAGTTGAAACCACCCACCATGTTTTCTTTTCCTCGGTTCATTGGCAACTGTCATAGTCTTCCGAGCCATAAAAACTAGGCCCAGCGGAGAAGTAGTAGGTCTGCTGCTGCGGTGCGCCATTGCGACCATTCACCAATTTGTGGGGCACGGCCTCCTCGCCTCCCTTGCTGGCACCATCGGGACGACGCGCAGCCAAGGGGTTCAGGTAGAAGGAGGTGCTGTCCTTAAGGCTTTAGCAGCTTCATGGGGGACTTCATGGGGCAAGATTTCTGGGATTGTTCCGAACAGTTGCAACGTCTTAGTTTTGTTCATGAAATCACAGGATATCACAAGTGCACCGACTGGCTCATGAGGTGAATAAATGCATAACATTCGATGGTCGAAGACAACTTCCAAAAAGGAATCAAAAAGGGATGGTTGTGGCTTGTAAGAACTTTCAATCTTCTTCAGGGACCTGTTGGTGACTTTACCGCTTCAAATGTTCATGCATTTTGATCATATTCCTGAACATGTCAGGACAGTCTGGATTTGACCCCATGCCTCACCTTCGGAAACCACAGCAGAACAAGATAAACAAATTCTCAAATAATATCGGTGCTATGAAGCCTCAGTACACGACCTTCACTTATGGAAATTATATTGTCAATTCTATCCTCATATTCTTGCCGCTAAACCCACCCCATAAATTAAGGTTACCCTCCAAGATAGACCCTGCCCAATAGGGGAGGGGTTGGATGAGGGATTTCCTCTTCAAACCTCTTTAAATGCATAACTCTCAGGGTCTATGTCAGTTGAAGGATCGAAGTTTCTCCGTTAGATAACTGATTGCTTGTTCATGCTACAAGAATGTTCGTCAGCGAGGATCATCATCCCGTAGTCATGGTCGAAAATACAGAAAACAATCAAACCACCAACCAAATGATCATTGATTCACTGGATTGGATTAAGGGAAAATCTACAGGAAACCATGGTTTTTACCATCAAATATAGGGCTTTCCTGTAAATTTTCCCATCATCCAATTCTATGATTGATTATAATTATAATGTACCAGTTATAATCATTATATAACCAACATATCATTGGTTTGAAAGATTTTGAAAGCACCAGTCCACATTGGCTCATCAGTCTTGAACTGACTGAGACATGCGGTTGCCAATGGCCCAGCCAGGATTATCCCATATTATGAATCGTTATCAATCATATACACCATTGTCCCATATTCTGATTGGTGGATAAAGTTTTCAGATTACAAAATATAAATGAAAATAAATATAATTACCCATATATACCCATTATTTCATCTTTATAGCCAGTAAAATATAGTTGCCATTGTATGCCCAAAAATCTGATAACTAATCCACCATGATGTTTAAGCCAAGTGTCCGCCCTTCCATCGTTGGGCCGTTCCTTCCGCAGCATGCTCCGATCCACGCCGTCGTGTGGGGCGTTGGGCAACGGGGCCTCTGGGCTGGCGATGTTTGGGTCAAGCCGCTTGCAGGTGCTGTCGGTGGCGAATGGATCAAGAAAAACATAATCGTTGTGGCACCCCACCAGAGAGATAGAACAGTAATTTCAAACTAGTTTTGTCAGATTTGATTTTTGTACTTTTTTTGATTTTTGTTGATGGGACAAACTGGGATGCTTTAGTTTCCAAGATGAGCAAAATCTGAAGTCTGAGGGTCCACAAATCTGAGATTCATCCTGCAGGACGGACCAGGACATTGGCATATAGAATCAACCACTGATTCACTGGTGGTTTCGAATGGAAGCACCCTCCTATGAAAGGGATAATTTGATAATCATTTCATGGCATTCCCGTGCCACCATCAGCTGGTAAACGATACAATATGCAACACAAAACATGGTCCGACAAAATGATGTTGCTTAATCTGCCCAATGGTCCATGGATCCTACGAATATATATTTATATTTATATATATACTTTTATATTGTCACCGATCATTGGAACATGTGGGACGCAGCTGCGCACGCCAGTTGCCTTGGCCGTACCATTTATTAATACTCCTGTACCACATACATCCGCATACCATATGCCATACCATAACATACCATTGAGTTGCAGCAAATAACAACAAAGTACCCTAGACATCCCTAAACTATTTAACTACAGTATATCAGTATATCTAAATGTTCTTAATAATCACAGTTACCCTCTGGTAATTTAACATAGCTATTGAAAATGGCCATTTATAGTGGATTTACCCCTTGAAAATGGTGATTTTCCATAGTTATGTTAGTTTACCAGAGGGTATCACCAAGTGTAGTTCACTAAGGACGTCCAAGGTTCATATGGCACCGCGTTCCCCCGTTTCGACGGCGGCGGTGGCGGTCGCGGAATGATCTTGGAGTCCTTCGACTGCACGCGGCCGCGGTCGAAAGAGACCTTCAGCAAACCCGGGAAGCGGAACCTGATGCTGCTGGTGGGAGAATACCCTCTGGTAAACTAACATAACTATGGAAAATCACCATTTTCAATGGGCAAATCCACTATAAATGGCCATTTTCAATAGCTATCTTAAATTACCAGAGGGTAATAGGAAATCATGGGAAAACCATAGGAAAGTCTAGGGAAAAACATGGGATAGTCGGATAGTCATGGGAAAACAGTGGTTAATAATTCCTGGGAAAATCCTTCGAAAACAATAACAATGGCCAACAATGGGAAACATATGGAAACATAATGGGAAAATCACCAACAACATCCAACAACAATGGATGAATATGGATAGATAGTGGATAATGGGGGATACACCTTCTGGTAATTTGTTACATGGATGTGGGCTATAAATGGCATTTTATTTGTTTGATTTACCGTTCTTCAAAATTGTGGTTTTCCATAGCGAACGATTAGTTTACCAAATGTTAATGTGTAAATAGTGATTCAACCATCATGAAGAAACATGAGAATTTATATGCAAGAACAAAGGGATTTATACTTGGTTCACCATTAAAAAAATGGCGTGCAACTAGTGAACAAGACGGGTTCTAAACACTATCTGCTATAGGTTCATGGTGTTTTATATGGGGATTTAGCCAGACACACCCAGTTGGGGACCCCGCAAAACTACTGCAATCCCATCATGATTGGTATGCTGAAGTTCGAAATGTGGCCGTTCTGTAGCCTATCCGAGTTAATGGACTTTCAATGTTTCAATGTTCCCTGCTGTTTTATATTTTTATGTGTGTTTGCCAAATTCTAATCTCTGTTGTTAATCTCCTTATTGGCGTCGTTTTCTTTCCTGTTTCCATAATGCCAGAAACAGCTAATGTGAAAAACATGTTTTTGGCCGCTATTCGTTTCTGTTGGCATCATCCTCTTTGTTATTAATGTCATGTCCTTATTTTTGATTGGCTCACATTCTGGATGGTTCATGGTCATACATAACCCTCGGCGGTCCCAAATCCCTTGACAAGATCTCAATTTGTGTTGGGCAGATGCCAAATCGAGTCAACTCACAACACTTACAATTACTTGAACTGCGTTCTTAAAAATAAACAAAATCCTGGTTCGGTTCATGCTGGTTCAATCCACTTTGTTCACATTATACATATATATTATATAAAGCATTATAAAGCCAAGTTGTTCATCATTGCCTCACGTGCGCCCAGCCCATCACGATTCAGGATTCAACACCAAGAAACTGAAACTGCAGGGTGCAGCCCAAGCAAGAGACACAAGGCACATCCTTGGCAGCGCTCTGAGGACTAACGTGGGGAACAAAAAAATGCCATGTTTACCACCCATGACTGGGAATGGTCAGTTTATATCTATAAACATGCTGATGACTGGGAGATGGTTTATTATTGTTTTACCAACATTATATTCAGCCTAGCAGTGCGCTGTCAGTGTGATTGGTTCATCATGAGGCTCTGCTCCACTATACGCATTTGTATAGTATAGTTTCCTTTGCGAGTGGGGTGAAAGCAAACCCAGGAGAAAACAATCAAGCGACTGTCACTGCGCCACACAATTGAGCTACTACTCGGACTTTTTATCCGTGCATGTGACTTCCAACATAGAAACAATGTTTACTGTAAGCCACTGATCTGCCAAATGACGTATACATGAAATATTGAGCAACAGAAGTCAGCAGCAGCCATTTAAAATCCACCCATGTATACCATGTATAGCGGCTGGATAGACCTGTTTTAGTTGAACGAATATGAACCAATCCCGTGTTTGTTGGTATATGTCTCATATGTTTGATAAACCCCAAGTCATTGTCAACCAAACTGCAAGGCCAATATATGGCAGCACTATAGCCCCCCAACATAATATACCACAAAGATGCATCACCATTTAACATTGTTGTCAAACCCCAAACCCACAAAACCCTAAACCCATGTCAACTTATGCCAACTTCTTATGTCAACCGTCAACCAAAATCCCAAGAAAAAAAGTCAACGATGTCATCCAAATCCATGAAAAATCCAAGGATCTGACAAATGCAGGTTCAGCTTCAGCCCCTGTGGTGCCTTTCCACCTCTCAAGACACTGGTGTCCAGCGCCGCGCACAAGGCCTGGATCTCTGCGTCGCCTTCGCGGGTGTGGCGCAGGCGGCAAACGTAGAGCCCGTGACTGGCCGGGGCGCCGCAAATGGGCTCGCCACCTGGCGGCTGAGGATCCCAGAAACCACACCTGGAACCGCCCTGGTAGCTATGATTGCAAGAGTTTAGCCAAGAACATGGCGGTTTTCCATATCAATCTTCGTTTACCAGCGGGTAAGCATCCTTTATGTCAACTTTATGTACAGTTATAAATTTCATAATTTGATTCTTACCAACTTTGTCACTAATGTTGCCCAGCCAATAGTGATATCTTGTCAATAGTAGAAACATTTTTCCGCAACTCCAATTTTTCTCCAATACTAAAAGTCAATTAGCTCTATTTACTTTTAGTATTGCCAAAAAAGTCATGTTCAGACCTTGTCCAGAGGGCATGGCCAATAGTGGACCCAACATGGCAATAGTGGAAACTTTTTTCCCAACTCCAATTTTTTCTCCAATACTAAAAGTCAATTAGCTCCATTTACTTTTAGTATTGCCAAAAGAGTCAAGTAAAGCAAATCCTTTTCAAAGCAGCCTTCACTTTTGGTTAGCAAAAGCTTAGATTCCAGAAATCTGATCGAATTACCAAACAGCTGATTTCCTTATAAAACCCTTATTAAAAAACGCAAGAAAACAGGTCCACAAAGGGTACCCCCTTTGCAAGCCCCAGAATAGCAATAACAAACCTGCACCAGGCATGGCAATAGTGGAAACTTTTTTCCGCAACTCCAATTTTGTTGCCCTCCTTCTCCTTCTCCTTCTTCTCCTTCTTCTCCTCCTCCTCCTCGTCCTCCTCCGTCGCCTCCACCACCTCTGCCCCCACTTCCATGATCCCAGCTTTAGATTCCCACAAATTATTATAGGAAGGTTGACCCCCCCCCTAAAATATTTTTCAAAAAAGTAAAATTTAGGGGGGGTGGTATTTATTATTAGGCAGCCAACATTAAGTGGGATGCACTGGTGAATATGGGCCTAGTAAGTCCCCAACTGGGGGACTTAGTATACAAATGGGTGAACGAACCATGGTTACTCTTGGGGAAAAAATGACGGGCCGCTCTGGGAGGCCGGAATTCAATTGAGGAAATCCGTCCCTTGTAGAAATGGATGGTACAGTATATAAACCATCTCCAGTATGGGATGGTTGTTATTGAGTTTACTTCTTGGGTTCAAACATTTTTGGATGAAAAAAGAATGTGCCAAATGAATTGGAAAGGACACGGTGTAAGTGGTGAAATGTCAGTACCGTGGCTAATTATTAAAGATGGCTACTGAAAATGGTCTTCGCATTTTGATTCCAAAAAAAGGTCATTATCCCATTCAACCTTTCTAGATGTCTTCAACACTCAGAAATCGACATTGTCAACTGCCCACAGAGGAACGCAACCATCACCAAATGCCCAAGCAGCTCTCGAAGAGACCATCAGCCAACGCCTCATGAATCCGTACCGTGGGTGTATGCAACTGGGTCTAGACCTATTAGGTTTACACTAGGTTTACCATGCTGCTGCACCATGGATCATCTGGGTGAGTATAAGGGGAATGATGGCATATCATCCTGGGAGTCCGAAGTGCCCTGGAAATCACCTTCTGAAAGGGTCAAAGTATGCTATGGTCCATCATGGTCCAGGTAGTTCCTGGTGCCAGAGGACGAAACTCCTCTCTTTCTGATCAATGCATTGATTCAACTGTGCCTTTCCCGTCAAACACCCTGCCGTAATCAAACGTGGCAACAAGATCTATGATGAATAATCAAAACACATCATATTAACGGGCAATCATCATAATCATCAAACATCATCAAACATCATCAAACATCATCAAACTAAATGGGGATCGTCCATTGCCATGTTTCTTTCCCATCAAATTCCGAGGGTTTTCAGGTCGAGCTGCTCCCTCATCCCCATCGATGCCCAGCTGCCAAACCTTGCGGTCGATGAGTCGATGGATCCGAACAAGCGCCAGCCATCAACCAGTAAAAAGGGAAAGACAAGTGTTTCAACATACCATGAGGAAATACGAGGAATATGTAATGAATATGTGTGATTATTAGTGTGATCCACATTTACACCAAACAAATCAAACAAATCAAACAAATCAAGCAACAACTTATAGTCACTATAGTCATAATCATAGATATTCTCCACATGTCCCCTCGGCATTTCCCGGACATCCCCATGGCCGCGAGAAACACACTGGGCACGGTGAAAGATGGAGCGACTCACCGAATCCTTGGCCGCTTCCTCCGCACGAAAGTCACAAATCCTGCCGCGGAGATCGCCCCGATGTGATGTGACCATGTTTGTTGGCTTGTAAACCCCATGAACCATGGCAACTCAAAAAGGGGAGTTTCTAAAACATGGCTACCCAAAAATGGATGGTGAATGGAAAATCATGGAAAATCATGGAAAATCCATCTATGATTTGGGGGTACCCCCATTTTAGGAAACCTCCATATGGTTATATCGTGTTATATCCCCTCATAAAACAGATATCAATCATGGCCTCAGCTTGTTGGTGAGTTTTACAGGTCCAATCCAATCGATCATCTGGGCACCTTGAAGCGTGTTGAATTTGACAAGGGATGTTGGTTGGAAAAGAGGGAAGTCTGTCAAATTGGAGTCTTAATGCCAAAAAGAGGCAGGATGGAAACCACTTGGATCTTTCCAGTGATGTCGACAACACTTCCAACGCCTCAAAATCAATCTCAAATTCAAACATGCAAAATCCACCAGTGTCAAAAAAAACCTGGTTGGGATCACGTTTTGCACACAGACACGTCCATTCAACCCTGATGGCCCTGTCCTCTGCCTTGCTGTTGGGATGAAGGGATCATCTTTGCTGCACAGCAATCCTGCAGCACTTCGGGGCTTCGGGGCAGGTTGCATCAGGTTAGCCCGAGATATCCGAAATCGAAAGAAAGGCCTTCGCAAAGCGACATGATCCGACCAGATTCAGTTTGATCCCCATAGAGGGTGAATATTGTGAACATATACTGAGCGCCATGGCTGCGGCAGCAGCGATGACCACCCAACTTTTCTACCCGCGGTCCAAAACGTTTCAGGAAGGCGATGGTCCAATGTTCGCCCAGGGTCACGATGTCAGCCTGCTCCACACCTCTGGCTAGAAAAGGCTGGGCAACTCCTCCCCAAAAAATGGCAATAGTGGTTCGAATATGTGCCCTTCATGTCTTCATAATCTTCATCTCAGAATTTGTCGTCCGTTGCTGATCCCACAAGGGGGCTCACCTACCCAGTGGTGAGAAATCTCCATTTCGTCAAACATTCGACCTGGAAATGCAAAACAAGTACCTAAGTCAAGTGCATTTACAAGTTTGGTCCATCATCTTGGGATCTGGCATGGCAATTGATATGGTCTTTTTAATGTTGTTTTTGCTAATCTTCGTGCAGATGTGCAAATGTTTAATTTTCCCTTCCACCCGTTTCAATGCATCCCACAAACTTTGCATTAAATAACCATTATCCCCAATGTTTGATGGTTAACTCGCCCGTTTTGATGGTCAAAACCACCAAAGAGTCCAGCCCTCCATCGTTTCCCGAAAGATCCAATCAACTAATCCCGGGCCCTTAGTTAAAATCCCCACAATCCCCAATCAACTCCGCATGTTGCTCAACAAATCCAATAAAATCACACAAAATCACCATAAAAATCCATCCGTCCATCCTCCGCCGTTTCATCCGTAGCGTCTCTTCTGATACGCCGCCACCTCCGCTGAGCTGGGCCCGGCTTTCCCGGCGCAGCGGGCGGCGAAACTCTCCAGGCGCTGCGCGGTGTCGTCGAAGCAGCTGGAGAGGCGACGGTCTACGCTGGTTGCCTCGGGAGAAAAATACTCGTCACGGTTAATGAATGGTTGATAATTTGATAATCCGCCGACCCCGGCCTTTGCCAAGGCAGGGGCGGCGCCTGGGACCACCGGAGGTGTGGAACTTGGCTCTCGGGTCGCAAGCAAAGGCACACGCCATCAAGGCAACACCTCTGCCAGCTACATGCCCCAGCCATCTACATGCTCCTGCCGAACTCTTACACCTACATGCCCCTGCCATCTGTTTTTCAGGGGGTTCAAGACTGCCGTTTGCCCGGCCTCAAACCCCCCAAACGCTTCCGCAGGCCTCCAAGGCAACAACTCTTACAGCTACATGCCCCTGCCATCTGTTTTTCAGGGAGTTCAAGACTGCCGTTTGACCGGCCTGAAACCCTCCAAACGCTTCCGCAGGCCTCCAAGGCAACAACTCTTACAGCTACATGCCCCTGCCATCTGTTTTTCAGGGAGTTCAAGACTGCCGTTTGACCGGCCTGAAACCCTCCAAACGCTTCCGCAGGCCTCCAAGGCAACAACTCTTACAGCTACATGCCCCTGCCATCTGTTTTTCAGGGAGTTCAAGCCTGCCGTTTGCCAGCCCGCAAAACCCCCCAAATGCTTCCCTGCAGCTCCCATGCCGTTTGCCAGCTCCGGCATTGTCCTTTTATGGTGGTTCAAGCCTAAACCCCCCAAATGCTTCCCTGCAGCTCCCATGCCGTTTGCCAGCCCCGGCATTGTCCTTTTATGGTGGTTCAAGCCTGCCGTTTGCCCGCCCGCAAAACTCCCCAAATGCTTCCCTGCAGCTCCCATGCCGTTTGCCAGCCCCGGCATTGTCCTTTTATGGTGGTTCAAGCCTGCCGTTTGCCCGCCCGCAAAACCCCCCAAATGCTTCCCTGCAGCTCCCATGCCGTTTGCCAGCCCCGGCATTGTCCTTTTATGGTGGTTCAAGCCTGCCGTCTGCCAGCCCGCAAAACCCCCCAAATGCTTCCCTGCAGCTCCCATGCCGTTTGCCAGCCCCGGCATTGTCCTTTTATGGTGGCTCAAGCCTGCCGTTTGCCAGCCCGCAAAACCCCCCAAATGCTTCCCTGCAGCTCCCATGCCGTTTGCCAGCCCCGGCATTGTCCTTTTATGGTGGTTCAAGCCTGCCGTTTGCCCGCCCGCAAAACCCCCCAAATGCTTCCCTGCAGCTCCCATGCCGTTTGCCAGCCCCGGCATTGTCCTTTTATGGTGGTTCAAGCCTGCCGTTTGCCAGCCCGCAAAACCCCCCAAATGCTTCCCTGCAGCTCCCATGCCGTTTGCCAGCCCCGGCATTGTCCTTTTATGGTGGTTCAAGCCTGCCGTTTGCCCGCCCGCAAAACCCCCCAAATGCTTCCCTGCAGCTCCCATGCCGTTTGCCAGCCCCGGCATTGTCCTTTTATGGTGGTTCAAGCCTGCCGTCTGCCAGCCCGCAAAACCCCCAAATGCTTCCCTGCAGCTCCCATGCCGTTTGCCAGCCCCGGCATTGTCCTTTTATGGTGGTTCAAGCCTGCCGTTTGCCAGCCCGCAAAACCCCCCAAATGCTTCCCTGCAGCTCCCATGCCGTTTGCCAGCCCCGGCATTGTCCTTTTATGGTGGTTCAAGCCTGCCGTTTGCCCGCCCGCAAAACCCCCCAAATGCTTCCCTGCAGCTCCCATGCCGTTTGCCAGCCCCGGCATTGTCCTTTTATGGTGGTTCAAGCCTGCCGTTTGCCCGCCCGCAAAACCCCCCAAATGCTTCCCTGCAGCTCCCATGCCGTTTGCCAGCCCCGGCATTGTCCTTTTATGGTGGTTCAAGCCTGCCGTTTGCCAGCCCGCAAAACCCCCCCAAACGCTTCCCTGCAGCTCCCATGCCGTTTGCCAGCCTCGGCATTGTCCTTTTATGGTGGTTCAAGCCTGCCGTTTGCCCGCCCGCAAAACCCCCAAATGCTTCCCTGCAGCTCCCATGCCGTTTGCCAGCCCCGGCATTGTCCTTTTATGGTGGCTCAAGCCTGCCGTTTGCCCGCCCGCAAAACCCTCAAATGCTTCCCTGCAGCTCCCATGCCGTTTGCCAGCCCCGGCATTGTCCTTTTATGGTGGTTCAAGCCTGCCGTTTGCCCGCCCGCAAAACCCCCCAAATGCTTCCCCGCAGCTCCCATGCCGTTTGCCAGCCCCGGCATTGTCCTTTTATGGTGGTTCAAGCCTGCCGTTTGCCCGCCCGCAAAACCCCCCAAATGCTTCCCTGCAGCTCCCATGCCGTTTGCCAGCCCCGGCATTGTCCTTTTATGGTGGTTCAAGCCTCCCGTTTGCTAGCCCGCAAAAACCCCCAAATGCTTCGCTGCAGCTCCCATGCCGTTTGCCAGCCCCGGCATTGTCCTTGTATGGTGGTTCAAGCCTTCCGTCCTGCCAGCCCGCAAAACCCCCCACATGCTTCCCTGCACTCCCATGCCGTTGCCACCCCGGCATTGTCCTTTTATTGATTGGCTCAAGCCTGCCGTTTGCCAGCCCGCAAAATTCCACATCACCCATTTTTTAGTATATTTTTGATACCCCCAACACACCAACCCCACCCCATCCCCAACCCCATCCCCATCCCCCAACCCCTCGGCCCCACCATGTGAAGCTCCAGGCCATGGCGATGATGAGGCGCCACAACTCGTGGCCCTGGCGCGGCAAGCTCAGCAGCTTCCGGAGATCAGTACCCTTGATTATCCCTGAGTTTCAAAATCAATGATACTCTACCACCAATCATACAATGATAGGAGGCAAAATATGCTTAAAAATTTGAACTGAGGTCTGACTTCAAATTTGTAGCGTCATACTCATTGCATACACATTGCACATTGTGTGGCAAATTGAATTGCGGCATGTTGGGGCATATCAAAACATATATGTCCATGTCTGTCCCACCATGTACCACCATCGACCTCAGCACGGCCCGCCGGAAGCGACGCGCCACTGACCCACTGAACCGCTGATGCCGTCGGATGCCGTCGGAGTATCTATATCTCCCTCTCTATCTATCTATCTCTCCCTCTCTATCTTTCTCTCCCCCTCTATCTATCTCTCCCTCTCTATCTATCTATCCACCTATCTATCTATCCATCCAGCTATCTATCCATCTTCTCTCCATCTACTTATCTGTCTATCCAACTGTCTATCTATCTATCTGTCTATCTCTCTCTCTCTCTCTCTCTATCTCTCTACCTATCTATCCATCCATCCATCCATCCATCCATCTATCTATCTCTCTCCCTCTCTCTGCAGGACCCCCCAAATAGGGGGGTCGGCGGCACCCGGGCGCTAGCCCATTCTATTAGTTGTTATGGTTCGTGAATGGTTAATGAATGATTAATCATGGTTAATAATGGTTTACCTCTGGGATCAACTTGTCCTTTTTGCTTTATCCATGTTTATCCTCTAGTAATTGAATAATGCCAGAATTCTTGGAATAAGATGGGGAAATAATAGGACAATAACACACAAGAATGGACAATAGGATACAATAGGGGTATAGCGTCCAGTGATTTGTTACGTGGCTATGGTCAAAGGAAGTTTAGGGGGAGAAACTTCCGTGTTACGGACTTTTAGAATGTCAGGGAAAGAGTTAGTCAAAGAAAGAGTTAGTCAAAGAAGAGTTAGTCAAAGAAAGAGTTAGTAAAGAAGAGTTAGTATAAGAAAGAGTTAGTGAGGGAAACAGTTAGTCAGGGAAAGAGTTAGTCAAAGAAAGAGTTAGTGAGGGAAAGAGTTAGTCAAAGAAAGAGTTAGTCAAAGAAGAGTTAGTCAAAGAAAGAGTTAGTGAGGGAAACAGTTAGTCAGGGAAAGAGTTCGTCAAAGAAAGAGTTAGTGAGGGAAAGAGTTAGTGAGGGAAACAGTTAGTCAGGGAAAGAGTTAGTCAAAGAAAGAGTTAGTGAGGGAAAGAGTTAGTCAAAGAAAGAGTTAGTGAGGGAAAGAGTTAGTCACAGAAAGAGTTAGCAAAGAAAGAGTTTGTCAGGGAAAGAGTTAGTTAAAGAAAGAGTTAGTCAAAGAAAGAGTTAGTGAGGGAAAGAGTTAGTCAAAGAAAGAGTTAGTCAAAGAAGAGTTAGTCAAAGAAAGAGTTAGTAAAGAAGAGTTAGTATAAGAAAGAGTTAGTGAGGGAAACAGTTAGTCAGGGAAAGAGTTAGTCAAAGAAAGAGTTAGTGAGGGAAAGAGTTAGTCAAAGAAAGAGTTAGTCAAAGAAAGAGTTAGTCAAAGAAACAGTTAGTCAGGGAAAGAGTTAGTCAGGGAAAGAGTTCGTCAAACCAAGAGTTAGTGAGGGAAAGAGTTAGTCAAAGAAAGAGTTAGTGAGGGAAAGAGTTAGTCAAAGAAAGAGTTAGCAAAGAAACAGTTAGTCAGGGAAAGAGTTAGTCAAAGAAAGAGTTAGTGAGGGAAAGAGTTAGTCAAAGAAAGAGTTAGTGAGGGAAAGAGTTAGTCACAGAAAGAGTTAGCAAAGAAAGAGTTCGTCAGGGAAAGAGTTATAGTTAAAGAAAGAGTTAGTCAAAGAAAGAGTTAGTGAGGGAAAGAGTTAGTCAAAGAAAGAGTTAGTGAGGGAAAGAGTTAGTCAAAGAAAGAGTTAGTGAGGGAAAGAGTTAGTCAAAGAAAGAGTTAGTCAGGATATATGAGGTAGTCAAAGAAAGAGTTAGTCAGGATATATGAGGTAGTCAAAGAAAGAGTTCGCAAAGAAAGAGTTAGTCAAAGAAAGAGCAAAGAAAGAGTTAGCAAAGAAAGAGTTCGTTAGGGAACGAGTTAGTCAAAGAAATTGTTCCCGCAATGTAAATGGGATTGCACGTGGTGCTGGTGGATGAGTTGCCGATGGAATTCCATTGTGATTTGCAACTCTAGGATCGTTCCCTCACTGTAAATGGGATTCACACGTGGTGCTGGTGGAGGAGTTGCCGATGGAGTTTTGAAGGACCCTGAGCATCGCATATTGATTAGAATCAATATTTTGATGCTCTGAGATATTGATTTTTTTTTGACACTCCAAAATCACGTTTTTTCTCTTTTTTTTCTTGATTATATCTTGTTTTTTTTCTTGATTTTCATCTTGATATTTTTCTTGATTTCATTTTTTGTAATCTTGATTTATGTCTTTAAAATTATTGATTTCTCTCCTTACCTTTTCTGACCTATCTGGATCTCTCATTGGCTGCTTCATGTGTGCATATGGTTGACATGTCCACCACCCATACATGCAGTTTTGGCTCAAAGTTTGCTTTTGTCGCTTATAGTTTTGGAACCTTGCAAAAGTCAAGGCCCAGGTCTTGGAAAAGGTCCAAGTCTTGGAAAAGGCCCAAGTCTTGGAAGAGGCCCAAGTCTGGGAAGGCTTTGGAAAAAGCTAGGCCAATGTCCAGGGGAGGACCCAGACATGAAGCCAAACCTCTGGTGGATGTTGGCTTGGTTTTTAAGTGCTTGGAAAAGCACAAGGATATCCTGGCTGACCTGGGGGCCTATGAGCATATGTGCTCCAGCTCTGGGCCCAATGCTAAGGCTTTGCATGCCACCAGGAAGCTATGGACAGGGCTGTTGGATCTGGAGCCAAGTGGCTTGATCCACAGCCAGCCACTGAGACAGGCTCTCCTGTCTTTGTTGGCAGAGAACCCAGATATAAACCTGGGGAAACATACTGGGCTGGTGTGGGCCAATTTGAAGGTGGAGAGGCTGAACTGCCTGCTGGCACATGTCAGGAAACTTGGCAGGGACAGCAAATCTCTCATGCCTGTGGCTGCCAAGCTCACCAGGGACCAGTACCATGAATTGCTGGTGGGCTTGAAAAAGCTCAAAATGCCCAACAAAACAGAGCTGGCCCTGGTGCCAGTGACAGCAGCAGAAGAGGAGCTTGGAAAAGCACCTTCTGCTAAGAGCAAAGCAGCCACAAGTGAGCTTGGAAAAGCATCACTTCAAGAAAAGGCCCATGTGCTTGGAAAAGCACCAGCATCTGCCAAGGCCAAGCTTGGAAAAGCCAAGCCTAGCAAAGATGCAGGGAAGCTTGGAAAAGTTGGCAAGGAGGCCCTTGGAAAAGGCAAAAGAAAGCTGGCTCCCAGAATCAGTGATGTGAGCTTGGACTCTGAAGGCTTCCCTGGGATGTTCAGCAGCCCCTCCAAGAAAGCCAGAACTGCATCTTCCTCCCAGGTGATGTGCCTGAGGAGAGCAGGTAGCAGGTTGCATGCAGCCATGGGCTATGGTTTGGAAAAGCCAAAGCCCAAGGCTAAGGCAAAACCTGCCAAAAAGCATGCCTCATGCCTTGGAAAAGGCAAGAGCAAGCCAGGCAAGGCCCTGGCTGATGAACCCAAAGAAAGGGAACCTTGGGTTGATCTCAAGCAAACAGATGCTAACAAGCCCCAGCCAAGATCTTACCTTCAAGGTAGGGTGGGGGGTGGCAAATTGCATCTCATTGTTGAGGTGACTCAGAATATGTCCATCCACTACCTTGCCATTATTGGTAAGATCAGGTGTGCCTTGGAAAAGGACAACCTGACAAAAGCTGAAGCCTTGGCCATGAGGAAGGACCTCTTGGAAAAGTACAGTCCATAGGCCTTGGCACATGTTCTTGGAAAAGGACATGCAACTTATCCTTGGAAAAGGAGAACCCTGTTCTTGGAAAAGGACATGCATGCCCTTGGAAAAGTGCAGCTGAAGTGCATCAGCAGTTTTGAAAAGAAAAAGGTAGCTGCTGCTTCTCTACTGGGTGGGTAACTGGTTGTATAGTACTGGCTAGGAACCTGGTAGCTAGTGGGGGCCACAGGGTAACTGCATGCTTGTTGGTGTTGGATGCATGTCTGCAGCCATGCTTGAGCAGGTTACATGCATGACCATGTCACCACACATGCTACATGCACACACACACACAACTTGCACAGCACAGCACACAACTTGCACAGGCATACACATGTTCACCAACAACAAAAGTCGGCAAGAAAACAACAACCACTATAACACAACTTGTAACTAGACTTCACAGTCAGCACATACAACTACAACACCACTTGTAGCTTGTTGCTGTTGGTGGGCTTGGAAAAGCTCTGCTGCTGAAGCAGGGCTTTGGGTTTGGAAAAGCTTGGTCCCTGAGACTGGGTTTGGAAAAACTCAAGGGGTTGGAAAATCCCACCTGAACTGGAAAGTCTTGGAAAAGATGGACCAGCCTGAAGGGCCCCCCAACAAAAAGGGGAGGAAGTTTGGTCATGGGACCACTTCCCAGGCCAGGAAGGAAAGAAGGAAGGGGATGCAGTGGTCAGCCTTGGAAAAGGCAGACCCAACTGACCCCACTGTCCTGGCCAAGCACCTGGAAGCCTTGGAAAAGGCAAAAGCCAGGTGCCAGGAGAGGATGGCAGATGCTGTTACCAAGAAATTGGAACAGCTCTCCACCTCTGATGAGCCCAGGGTAGGGGGCGCCAAGCACAGGGGCAAGAGTGGCCAGCCAAGGAAGGCTGTGCTCACCCCTGCTGCTGCAAGCTCTTCTTCTGGCTTGGAAAAGCCAACAGCCACCTTGGAAAAGGAAGGCAAAAAAAGAAGAGCAAGCCTGCCCAGGACTTGGAAAAGTCCAAGCCCAAGGATTTGGAAAAGTCCCAGGGCAGCACCACCCATGGCAGTGCCACCAAGGGCTTGGAAAAGCCTGTGGTGGTGGTTGACTGGCACAACACCTTGGAAAAGGATGATGTTGTGAGCCAGGACAACCTGACAGGCTTGGAAAAGCTGCAGGAACACTGCAGAGTGATCCTCCTCTCTGCAGTGGACACTGTCTCCAGGAAAAAGCAAGTCCTGGTGGACATGGATGCCATGATCCCAGACCACATTCACCAGCATGGTCTTGGAAAAGAAATCTGCTGGAAGAAATGTGGTGAGGGTGGGAAGGCAGATCTTGCCTGGCAGTGGGATGCTGTTGCCATTTTTGATGACAATTGGCATATCTGCCAGGAATGTGAGGCCTGGGGCATTGATGCTTACCAGGTCTCACAGAAGAAGGCAGCCAAGGGGGCCTTCCCCACCTTTTGGAAAGCTGTGGATGCTTTCCTGGTGGGGGCAAATGCTCAGTAGTCTTGGAAAAGACTGCTGGGCCCCTGGTCTTGGAAAAGGCTGGCTGCACCTGGCAGATGGGCTTGGAAAAGCCTAATCCCACATGGGTTTGGAAAAGCCCAATGCCAAATTGGCTTGGAAAAGCCCAGCAAGGTCATTGGCTTGGAAAAGCCTTCAATGAGAGGCAGTGCATGATGGGCTTGGAAAAGCTCAAGAAACAAACAGGCATGGATTGGGCTGCAGTGATTTAAATAAATATATATATAACATATAAATATATAAATGTCAAAACACATCTTACCAACATATACCCTGTTGTATTTAAACAAAAAATACATGGAAAAAATGATAGTCTTTTGTTGTTTCTTGGTTTCACTGCAGCCCATCCATGTCTGTTTTTTTGCTCAAGCCATTGTACAGTGTACAGTCAGCTGGGGCTTGCAGCTGTTCTTTAAAAGGCTGGCTGGCAAACACTGCCAGCTGGTCACAGGCTGACATAAATGAAAAAAATAATAATTCAAATAAAATTTAAATTAAACTAATTCAATTACAGTAAGATATTTAGAAAATTAAATATAATATAATATATTTATTAAATAAATATATAGATGTATATATATATATATATATTATATGTATAAATTTGAAAAATATATATTGAGAAAACAACACATGATTGACAACACACATTTAAATCTTGAAGGTGCAAAATTATATTTTTTTACTTCTATTGGGAACTTGTATTGGGAACAATGTTTTTTGGGTGTGTGTGCAGTAGTTTGTTTAAGAGCATTCTTCTGGGAACTTACTGTTACTGGGAGCTTGTGTTGGGATTTTTTTTGTGTAGCAATTAGTTTAAGGGCCTTTTCTTGTCAACTTGCTTCTGTTGTTGATTTTTGTGGTGTAGTTTATTTGTGCATCAGTTTGTTTAGAAACATTCTGTGTTTTTTTTTCTGGAGAAAATACATTTACTGTTTTTTGGGGAGTTTCTCTTGTGAAATTTGGGTTCATAGAATATATGGACGGTGTGGTTTGGTTTTTCCTATATACGCCGGTGAAACTTAACGTAGCACCGGAGGACAAAAAACCAAGATATTAACATAGCCCCCGTTCATCGAAGACTCCTGGGGAAGTCATATATACTGGATGATGCTGAAAGCTGCCAACATCCTATCCAACTCACCTTAACCTGACACCTGGGCAGGCCTTTCCAGACCACATCAATTAAACATGAACAATCCAAAAAACCTGATTTCACATTAACATGGCCTAAAAAAAGCAAACAGTGAGTGTGTCCCACAGGTTCCATGTTAAAGTGCCGCGCCTTTTTTTCTTCCCGTACTCCCCTTTCCGGGTTTTGCGCAAGTGGCCGACCTACCATCTTCTACGATCCACTCAGCCGAAGACACCCTTGACTTTAACATGAAACATGTAATACTATTCCAGGTTAAACTTGGGCAGTGAAACACAAAAACAGTGTAAACTAGAGCAATTTTAACATGGAACGTTAACATGCCTCACCCCACCCCAACCCCAGGGCTGCGAAGCATCCACAACGCATGCAAGTTACATGAAACGTTAACATGCCCTATCCCACCCCAACCCCAGACTTGGTGGTGCACTTTTGGTGCTGAATCCAGACTTGGACCCTTTGGTGGTTGTTTTTTTACCGGTGGGTGACCAACAGGTGAAAAGATGAATCACCAAATCATGGACCGGTGGGCCATGTTAAAATATCAGGCTATCCATGGTAAAACCTTTGTTTCTGAGGTTCCCCATACTTCCCAGGAAGATTTCTTTTCCCAAAAGAACCAAGCGGCATGGATCCCAAATCAGTATTTTCACATGATATGTTTTCTTTATTAAACTCTTTATATAAAATGCTCGATTTGTGCACTTTTGGTGCTGAATCCAGACTTGGACCCTTTGGTGGTTGTTTTTTTACCGGTGGGTGACCAACAGGTGAAAAGATGAATCACCAAATCATGGACCGGTGGGCCATGTTAAAATATCAGGCTATCCATGGTAAAACCTTTGGTTTGTTTCTGAGGTTCCCCATGCTTCCCAGGAAGGTTTCTTTTCCCAAAAGAACAAAGCGGCATGGGTCCCAAATCAGTATTTTCACATGATATTTTTTCTTTATTAAACTCTTTATATAAAATGCTCGATTTGTGCACTTTTGGTGCTGAATCCAGACTTGGACCCTTTGGTGGTTGTTTTTTTACCGGTGGGTGACCAACAGGTGAAAGGATGAATCACCAAATCATGGACCGGTGGGCCATGTTAAAATATCAGGCTATCCATGGTAAAACCTTTGGTTTGTTTCTGAGGTTCCCCATACTTCCCAGGAAGATTTCTTTTCCCAAAAGAACAAAGCGGCATGGATCCCAAATCAGTATTTTCACATGATATTTTTTCTTTATTAAACTCTTTATATAAAATGCTCGATTTGTGCACTTTTGGTGCTGAATCCAGACTTGGACCCTTTGGTGGTTGTTTTTTTACCGGTGGGTGACCAACAGGTGAAAAGATGAACCACCAAATCATGGACCGGTGGGCCATGTTAAAATATCAGGCTATCCATGGTAAAACCTTTGGTTTGTTTCTGAGGTTCCCCATGCTTCCCAGGAAGATTTCTTTTCCCAAAAGAACAAAGCGGCATGGATCCCAAATCAATATTTTCACATGATATGTTTTCTTTATTAAACTCTTTATATAAAATGCTCGATTTGTGCACTTTTGGTGCTGAATCCAGACTTGGACCCTTTGGTGGTTGTTTTTTTACCGGTGGGTGAACAACAGGTGAAAAGATGAATCACCAAATCATGGACCGGTGGGCCATGTTAAAATATCAGGCTATCCATGGTAAAACCTTTGGTTTGTTTCTGAAGTTCCCCATACTTCCCAGGAAGATTTCTTTTCCCAAAAGAACAAAGCGGCATGGATCCCAAATCAGTATTTTCACATGATATTTTTTCTTTATTAAACTCTTTATATAAAATGCTCGATTTGTGCACTTTTGGTGCTGAATCCAGACTTGGACCCTGATGAGCAAGGCCCAACTTTGAGCACAAAAACGAGTGCTGCAGGTAGGATATGTTAAAGTTCCTTAATGACGACCTGTTTGCCTCTTTGCATTCCCCATGAATACATACTGTTCAATGGCCAAAATTCCAAACGTGCTATGTTAATTTAAATTTCCTTCCAAAACCTTAAGGTTCTTGGGGATTCCTGGGGAACGACTGAAAAAAAAATGAGAACAACAAAAGCAAAATCAGACTTGTCTTTCCTCCTTATTTCATGTTAACGAAGTACCGGAGACAGTGTTTTTTTGGTATGTTAACATGGTCCGTGGATTTTTTTTATTTTTATTTTTTAGCCACGTTAAATTTACCCGGCGTATATTTTTTGTTCATGTAGTTTTTTTAATTTTCAGATATGTAGTATTTTATTTTTCTGCAATGCCTATTAACTCATGTGATTCAGAAAATGTATATTTAAAACTGCATTGTTTTTTAAATAATCAAATTTGTCGGTTATGGGTCCTTTTGCAAAGGGATTTTGATCGGTAGAAAGTAAAAAAAACTTACATTTGTTTTCTGTGAAACATGTTGACATATGAAATTGACAACTGTTTTCAATATCTTAGATTTGAAATTTGATTCTCATAAATCAGAAACCAAAGTATCAATATTTAATATCTTTATCACACCAAATTTAAAAAACAAACAATATATATTTATTTTCAGAAAATAAAACTATATATACTGAAATATATATTTTAGTTTGAAAAAATAATTTGTTTAAACAAAAAAAGGAAAAATAAAATTTGATCAAATTTGAAAACCTTTATTTTGTTTAAATATTTGTTGTTTTTTGTTTTATTTTGCCATAAACCCAAAAAAATAAAAATATTACAATTACATATTATTTGTTTCAAACAAAATAAATTGCCATAAATGCTTTACATATATTTATATGTAGTTCATGTTTTGCAAAACAAATATAGTTCAATGAGTTGGTTTTCAAGTACCAGAAATGTTTGCAATATTTTATTATAAGTCATTTTGGTGCAATAATAAACTGTGAAATTAAAAATATAATATGTATAACCATGTTTTGTTTATTATTACCTTTGTTTTTACCATTAAAACAATTTGATTTCAAAAATATATTTAGTTCAAAATGATTAATTGTTAAGCAAACTATACTATATTTGGTTCAATCATAATAAAAGAATAAAAATACAATATGTTTTGAGTTTTTTTTATTAGCTCAATATGTTTACACATGTATATACCAAAATGAATTACAATATATGAAACATACCACAAATTTGATTTTCAAAAAGTGTGTTGTAGTTTTGGAAAATTTGATTTATTTTGTGTGGTTTTGATTCATTTTGTGAAAATAAAGTATATATTTTGTGAAAATTATATGTTTTTCACATGTGGCTCCAATGCCCAAAACATAAAACAATAAAAACAATAAAATGCCAAAAGCATGTTTTGCACCTGCAGCTGTTTTTGGATCAAAGCAAATTTGTGGAAAAGTCACCAGTTTTGGGTGTCAAGTGGTACTATGGCACCAAAAAAAGTTATGAAAACAATGAAGAAGAAAACAGACTTGGAAAAGTCTCCCCAGAAGAAGAAAGGCTTGGAAAAGCCTTCCAACCAGAGAGGCTTGGAAAAGTCATCTGGAAGAAAGGGTTTGGAAAAGCCCATGAAGAAGCCTAGCTGCAATGATGGAGATGGTTTGGAAAAACCAGGAACCATCAAAGACAAGGTCAAAGCTGCAGCTGAGGAGGCTGAAGGTGATGCAGACCAGGGTGCTGCAATCTTGCATGGATCTCTGTCCAAGCTTGATAAGAGCAAGGGAACAAGGCCTTGGAAAAGGCCCATGCCCAACTTGGCAAGAAGGAGAAAGGAATTGCTGCTTGCAAATGGCTCTTGGAAAAGGAAGGCAAGCAGTTTCTCCAAGCCTCCAGGAGGGTTTCTGTGGGAGAAGTTGTCACTAAGAATGATAACTGGGAAACCGAACTCCAAATGCTTACCAGGTACACCCCAGAAGAGCTGGAGATGCATCTCCAGTCTGGGAAGGTGATCTGGAGAGAGTGCCCCTACACTTCTGGTACCTTTGAATACAAAGATACCCAGAATTGGCACAAAGCAATCAACACAGCCAGACAGAAGGAATGGCAGAGTGGTGTTGAGTTTGAGCCTGAGGATGAGGACTTGGAAAAGTTCATGGAGCTCTTCAGCACTGACTGCCATTCCTTGTCTGTGGATGAAGGCCTTGGAAAAGGTAGTGCCAAGGGCCTTGGAAAAGGCCAGGGGTCCCTTGGAAAAGGCAGAAGAGGCAGGGGCAGAGCCATCAAGGAGGAGGAGGACAAGGATGAGCCTGATCCCCATGAGAAGCTTGCCAAGGCTTGCAGGACTGCCAGGAATATGGTGTCTGCAACGCTGTCAGACTTGGAAGAAGCTTTGGAAAAAGCAGGTTCCAAGCTGACCAAAGCAGGCAAGACCACAGCCAATGATCTGAGCAAGGAGCTTGGAAAAGCTTTGCAGAAGATCAAGACCTTGCTGACTGGAAAGTCAAAGCTGCAAGATGACCCAGTGAAGGGGCAGCTGATGGAGGTGGCTCAAGTGGTCAAGACTGCCAAGGATGAAACTAAGAAGCTGCTGGCTTTGGGGGGTGCCTCCTCCTCCTCCAAAGCCAAGTGATCTTGGAAAAGGTCCCTCAGGGGGCAGCAGGGGCCTTGGAAAAGGCAAGTTGGACCAAGGGTCTTGGAAAATGCCTTTGGCAACAGAAAGCACACAGCTGGTCTTGGAAAAGGCCACACTGAGAGGGCAAACTACATGGGCCACACACTGACTTTATATGGAAAAGTTACATGCACACCTAGTCTTCATGCAAAGAACAATTTGTTGTTTCCCAGCTGTGTGTGGCCCATGGCAGCCTGACCTCTAATACAGGGGTTGGTGGCATATTATACAGGGACACTTGCAGGAAAAATGAGTGCTCACTGGGGCTATAGGGAAGGTGTGGTACTGCAGCTGCAATCATGAAAAACATGCATGCCTTGGCAATTTGGCTTCAGCTGCTACTAGCTTGGATCCCTTTTGTATATTTGTTTGTTGTTGATTTTAGGCTTGGAAAAGCTATGGCTAAAAGGCTCAGGGGCTGGCAGCTGGAACAAGAATCTGGCAGAAAAGCCATAAAAGGCAAAAAAGCCTTGGAAAAGGCAGATGGCTTGGAAAAGCATGAATCACCATTGGCCAGCAAGCTGCTCCATCTCTGGGCTTCTGGCAGCCTCTCTGCTGTCATGGTCAGGGAGCTGGCAAACTTGGCTTTGCAAGATGGAGCAGATCACCCAGAATTGGTGAAGCTGGCCCAATGTGGAAATTGGGGTGCCCAGCCAGGAAACTGCCACAGGCAGATCTTGAACAAGTTCTGCTCTGATGTGATGCTGCCTGAACCTTTTAGCATCAAAGTGAAGTGCATTGATCCCAAGACTTCCTTGGAAAAGGTTGAGCTTGCATCAGTGTACCTCCCCCATCTTCAGTTTGCACATCTTGGGGAACATTATCCTGAGTTCTTCAAAGAAACTTTCCACCTTGGAAAAGGTGACTTGGAAAAGTTTTGGAAAGGAGTGCAAACAACCAAGGATGACAGACTAGAAGGTCATCCCATGTGCTTGGAAAAGCATTGGCAACTCCACTCCATTCCCATATTTGTATATGGGGATGGAGTGGAGTACCAAACAAGAGATACAATGTTGGTATGGTCATGGGGCTGTTTTTTGGGTGATATGGCAAGCATGAAGCAGCACCAGCTGCTGGCTGCCTCCCCCAAAAGCTGTACAGCCAAGGACACCTGGCCTACCATTTGGAAATATTTGAAATGGTCCTTTGAAGCTCTTGGAAAAGGGTTTCATCCAACTCATGACCCAGATGGCAGGCCCTTGGAAAAGGGCAGCAAGCTGCTTGGAAAAGCAGGGCAGCCTTTGCACCCCAAAGGGTACAAGGCTCACATCTGGGCAGTGCAAGGGGACCACGAATTTTTCAGCAACCACCTGAAGCTTCCCCACTGGGCATCCAAGTACCCTTGCTGGGAATGTAATGCTGAAAACTTTGAAGGGTGCAAGGCCACCTTGAATGTGAAAGAATTGGATTTGGACAAGTCCAAATTCAAATTATTTTCACAGAAGGAGCAGCTTGGAAAAGCTTCCCACTTGGAACACCCTTTGTTCCAAGTCCCTGGTGTTACTGCAAAAACTTGCAGGGGTGACCCCATGCATATTTTGTTCTGTAAAGGACTCTATGGCCATGTCATTGGAAGTATATTACATTACCTGTGCTGGTATGAAGGGCCTGGAAAGGTCTGTAAGGAAAGGCCATCCAAAAGGATTGGGGTCATCTTCGATGAAATCCAGCAGGAATACAAGTCCCAAGGTTTGGAGCACAGGCTCACAAATCTTAAGCTCAGCATGTTTACAAATGCTGAAAAGCCTTGGCTTGGAAAAGCCACCATGGACTGCAAAGCAGGTGAAAGCAAGCATCTGCTTCCAGCCTTGGTTCCTGTCTTGGAAAAGATGTTTGCTGGGACCAAAAAAGAAGAAGAGAAAAAAATGTTATCTGCAGCCAAGAGCTTGGAAAAGCTTGTGGCATTGTGGGATGAAGCAGGTACATTCCTCACCCCTGCTGAATTTTCAAAAGGCATGGCTCTTGGAAAAGAATTCTTGCTGGCCTACAAATGGCTGAATGCATGGTCCTTGGAAAAGGGTAGGCATTCTTTTGCCATTGTTGTGAAGCACCATACCTTTATCCACCTCCTTTGGAATTCCAAATTTCTGAATCCCAAAAGGCACTGGAATTTCAAAGGGGAAGACTTTGTGGGTCGAGTCTCTAGAATGGCCCACAGCATCAGCTTTGGAGTTTCCTCCACAAGGGTGAGCTCCAAACTGTGCATCAAATACAGGTTGTTCTTCCATTTCCTGTTGACCAGGAGCATGGAGGAACCTGTGTGGGACAGTGAGGAGGATTAGGTGTATCTTGGAAAAGGCTCTTCTCCTGCTGATCTTGGGAAAGACGCATTCTGGAGATATCTTGGAAAAGGTATTCACACAGCATGTCTTGGAAAAGATATTGCATGTCTTGGAAAAGGCTTGACAGGGCTGCATCATGGTAGAAAAAAGGAGGAAGTCAGCTGCAGCTTTTCTCAGAAAATCTTGATCTTCCTGTTTTAAAATCTTGATTTTCATTTTTGGAAATATTGATTCTCCACTTGATTTGATGCTCCAAAAATGACACTTTTTTACTTTGAAATTTGCCTTTGAAAAATCAATATCTCAGATTGATTTTTGAACCCCACCAAATCAAGATCTTGATTCTAATCAATATGCGATGCTCAGGGGAAGTCTCGCACGAAATGCGTTTTTGAGAGATAGCAGATTAACCCTGTGTTTTTCCATACAAAGTCCGTCCCCGAACGCCGATGATCTACCTCTGCGGTGCGACGGGTGCGAGACGGTCTCGTGTGTGGTCGGATCATGGTCGGATATTCTCGGATCATGGTCGGATCGGTTCCGCATTGTAAATGGGGTTTCAAGTGTTTTTTGTGCATGTGCGGTCGACAGAATTCCATTGTGATTTGCAACTGTAGGATCGTTCCCGCAATGTAAATGGGATTGCAAGTGGTGCTGGTGGATGAGTTGCCGATGGAATTCCCATTGTGATTTGCAACTCTACGAAGACTGTACGCTGGAAGTTATATGAGTTTACAGATTTAGACGAGTTACAACATGTATATAAACCTTCTATAACATGTCTATAACCTGCTTGCAAGTATGTAAAGTGTCATAACATTTGATAAGTAATTTGTAAGTTTAGCTATCCGGCTACGAGAAGTTGTAAATGTTTAGGTAAAATATAAATGGTTAATGAACTTATCGTAAGTATCTTAACTGCATGTTTTCTTTTTATAACTATGTTAACAGACTTAACATAAGTATGTAGGAAAAGTTGTCATAAGTTATCTGAAAGTTAACAAAAGTTATAAAAAGTTACAAAAAGTTAGTATAAAGGTATATAAAGTTAAAAATATGTTTACAAGAGGGCAATGAAAATGTTTATTTATTTTACATTTTTCGAGAGTTTCATTAAGTTTGTGACAAAGCTTGTCAACATTTATACAGGGTGAAACAATCTTTCTGTATGTGGAAACGATGTTGTTCGCAGGCAATTTTTTTGTGAAGACAGGTCCTGTAAAGGAATCGGTGTGAAAAAAATGAGGTCCTGGAACGGACATGGTTTGAAAAAATGGTTCCTGTAAAGGATTCTGTTTGAAGAAATTGTTCCTGTAAAGGACATGGTTTGCAAAGACTGTTCCTGTGAAGGATGTGGTCTGTAAAGACATTTCCTGTAAAGGATCGAATGTTTGAACTTGTAATATCTAATGCTTGTAAAGGACCTGGTCTTGGAAGATATTTCTTGCAGAGAAGGTCTGGTTTTTTCACACCGATATGCAAACAGTGTGTGTTTGTGTTAGCTGCATTGCCTCTCAAAGTAAACGCACCAGCGCGTCCGTTCGATTAAATACGATGTCTACGGACAGCTACATGTTGGCCCTTGCTGCGGCAGCGTCGCCACTTTTGGAGCTAGCCAAATCTTTGCCGGAGAGCCTCGAGGCTCCCGGAGAGGAGACGGTGGATCAGCCGCCCGCAGAGGCTGGAGATGGCGAGCATGCGGCCCGCGAGAAGGAGCAGGCGACGGAAGAGAAGATGACGGAGACAGAGACCGAGAAGGTAGAAGAGGCCATCAAGAAGCCAGACCGAAAAAGGGTGACCGGTAAGTCTTCTGAAGCGTCTGCTCCGAGCAAGAAGCAGAAGTAGATGGCAATCAGCGCGGGCAGGAAAAGGAATGCGTGCCGGAGGTGTAGGGTCACTTCTGAAAAGACGGTTCCTGGAAAGGATCGGGTCTGAAAAGACAGTTCCTGAAAAGGATCAAGTCTGAAAAGACAGTTCCTGAATAGGATTTAGTCTGAAACGACAGTTCCTGAAAAGGATCCATTCTGAACAGATATTCCCTGAAAAGGATGAAGTCTGAAAAGACAGTTCCTGAAAAGGATCAAGCGCGAAGAGACATGTCGTGCACGGGAAGAAGTTCGACAAACCTATTCCTGAGAAAAAAATCTTTGTCGCATGATATCGTTCAGACACATTGAATGGGCAGCAGATATCCGCTTGCATTTTGGATCTAGTTTTTTTTCTGCAACAAGAGCTCACTAGCACCGAAGGACAAAGGTCTATAGAAAGAGCCATGAGCCAAATTGTTGCTTCGCTGGAAGCCTGTGGCCGCTACTTGGAGACCATGAAGACGTTTCCTAGCTTTATGCAAGCTAAGGAGAGCCAACTGTCTTCTTTGACGTGTCAATTTGGTCGGCATAGTTGGTCGCTTTCTGAAGGCTCTGAAGCATTGGAGCTCTTGCAGCGCCAGGCCATTTGGAATGAGACGGAACGAAGCTCTTTGGCATTAGCTATAGTTCAGCTATAGTTCAGCTATAGTTCAGCTATAGTTCAGCTATAGTTCAGCTATAGTTCAGCTATAGTTCCGTTCTATAGTTCCGCTATAGTTCCGCTATAGGTTCCTATAGTTCAGCTATAGTTCAGCTATAGTTCAGCTATAGTTCCTATAGTTCGCTATAGTTCAGTTCCATAGTTCTA